CTTATAACACTGGTTACAGAAATAGGACTGCCATCATTATACGGGTTACCTGTAAACCTGTCCAAAGAGACAGATTGTACCTCTGGTGCATCTGGAAAATTCAACAAATATTGATCAATAGCCTATCTAAAGCAAATTTATCAATTATCCTAATTTTCATTTTTAATAAATGAAACCAGAGCTTCAGAATGTTTTATTTGTTCTATGAAAATCTACAAATTGCAAAATTTGATATACAGGTACATAATTTAGGAGAATGATACGGAAAATTAAAAAAGAAATTTGCATTTAAATCAAACTCACATTTCACACGAAGTTCAAAGGTCACTGTTTGTTCGTAGCGCTGTGATCGTACGTAGTTCGAAGCTTTACAAGTGTGGATCCCGACCTCCGCTACAGTGGCGTTACCTAGGGACAGGGTGGCACCAGATCTATACCACATGGTGTTTCTGTACTCCCGTGTCCATTGATAGTCACAGTCAGGGACACAGTCTGCTACACAGGTGATGCGAGGAATAACTGCCCCCTGCTCAACTTCTAGGACAGTAACATTGGGGGAGAGGCCAACTGAAGATCCAGGTCCATCTAAGGAAAAAAATGATTAACAGAACCCTTCAAAGACATACTAGTTCAGACAGTGTTTCTTGATAAATAGAACTGACCTTAACTTTTAAGCAAAAAGACTTGTGAAATTTTTTTTCTCTGTGTATATGTAGAAAGTATGAAATTTAAGTATGCAGGCTAAAACACTTCAATTTTTTTTATGTCTCTCAGAATTTTTAAAATCAAAATCCTGAAAGGCTTTAATGGTGTCAAACATGTAAAACAATATCAATTTAAAGTTCTTTTAAATTTGATATAAAATGTTAACTTCAAACAAAATGTGACACAGTTTTGGGGCCTTATACCATGGTCTGAATAGAGTAGGGTTCAAACTGACCAGACACCATTCATCTCTTTTTCAGTCAGTTGAAAAAACTATGAAGGATTCAATGAATTCACATAATATTACTTTAATTGTCAATGTCTTAGCATTGTTTTAGTGCCTTGAACTCACACATGACCTCCAATATTGTAGAGGCATTTCTGGTGACCTCCTGTAAAGTGTTATTTCCCCTTTGTTTTACACTGGTGGCCTCCAGTACATACACCCCTGCTTGGTCCCTCGAGACGTTCTCCAGAAATAGATCGCCGTCAGTCGAGAGAACCGTGCTGTTTCCCGCCCTTCTCCAGGCCAGTGTGGCGGGAGGGTTCGCTGACACAGAGCCGTAGATTGTGGCATTCACTCCCTCCTTGTATGATAATTCAGACATAACATTCAGTTCTGGTCCATCTGTAAGGAGAACATATTTAAATCCTTTCTCTAGTACAGCATGTCATATCAAAGTACTGCACTGAGTACTTTTGAAAAATAAATAAATTGTGCATACATGTAATTACTAGGGATCATGGATATCAAAATATTAATTTTCCTTAGTCGAACATTCAATTGCATTATTCAAACGATAGTCCACTATTACGAGCATTTATCATTTTTTTTATATCACAGTGTTTTTGAAAGCTTATAGATTAATTTAAAATAAATCGGAAAATTTGAATGTTATTGGAAATAGGGAATTGTAAACACACACTATACACACCTCCGATGAAAATGTTTTTAATACTGTTTGTTCAATTAATGATTGCCCAAGCTATATATCAACAAGAGATGTTTGTAAAACACTTATGCCCCCCTCCCCCCAAATTGGAATTTTTCCAAGTCCAAGGGGTATAACTCTGTCAAAAATTATGCGATTGTACCCAAAACAGAACTCGACCTAGATATTTATTTGATATATCTGTATACCAAATTTCATTTCAATATGTACAACGGTTGCAAAGAAAATGAATGGAAACGGCAAATAATTGGATTTTTTCTAAGACCAAGGGGCATAACTCTGTCAAAGATGGTGCGATCGTACCCAAAACAGAACTCGTCCTAGATATTTATTTGATATATCTGTATACCAAATTTCATTTCAATATGTACAACGGTTGCAAAGAAAATGAACGGAAACGGCAAATAATTGAATTTTTTCTAAGTCCAAGGGGCATAACTCTGTCAAGGATGGTGCGATCGTACCCAAAACAGAACTCGACCTAGATATTTATTTGATATATCTGTATACCAAATTTCATTTCAATATGTACAACGGTTGCAAAGAAAATGAACGGAAATGGCAAATAATTGAATTTTTTCTAAGTCCAAGGGGCATAACTCTGACAAAAATGATGTGATCATACCCAAAACAGAACTCGACCTAGATATTCATGTGATATATCTGTATACCAAATTTCATTTCAGTAGGTGCAACGGTTTTGAAGAAAATGAACGGAAACTAAGTGGACCGACAGACCGACGGACCGACAGACCGACCGACAGACAGCAGCAAAGCAATATGCCCTCCCTTCTTCGAAGGGGGGCATAAATATTGTCTTTTATGTTAGATTATTGTTTTAATAATTATCGAACTTTAAAACTTCACGGCTATGCAAAAATTGTGTGTTCATAAGCATTTGAAATTCCTAGAGTTTATAAATAAATAATTGGTAGAAGTCAATTATTGAATTAAACAATTTTCATAGTCCAGTAGAGCGTTATATAATTTACTACGTACAATAACAAAAAAGTCAGTGATTGAGAAATAATTATTGAGGTATGTAATTACTGTATTTTCAATATGTACAATGTGGAAAATTATTTATATATAACTGTGACTGTGTTTGAGCTCTTATTTGTCTGAGGACGTACACTATACAGCTGTTTAATTTGAGGTACAACCCTTTTTCAATTTTGAAATGAAAATTTCATTATCACCCCCTTTTCTTGCACTTATTTTATATTCGAATGTTTTTTCATTATTCGATTGTCGGTCCATTCGACTGACATTCAAATAGTCGACTATTCGTTAACATCCCTAGTAATTACACTTGGAAAATTCTTTTGCTTTTTCTAAATAAATTTTTAAAAAATTGTTATTTACTGGAAATTACCCGGTACTGCAAATTTATACATAAGGTAAAAGGACAAATGAATAAGATTGGAGTTCTTGGGAATTAACAACATAAAAATATGATATCCTCTGACAATGTGGAAAGTTTTAATTTTTTGAAATATATATAGTGTTTTTCTATTCAGGATAAAAAAAGAAAACTGACACTGAACTGTGATTGTGACCCCCAGGTAGGACCTGCCAGCAGAATTCTGGGCACTACAACTAAACATGTTTCCATTCTGATTCCTCTTGATGTCAGATATCACCAAGGACTGACCCACTGAAAGAAAACATATAGGTACAGGCATCCAGAAAGTTAGAGTACTAGTAAAACATACAATGTTTGCTTGCAAGACCATATTATAAACATTATGAGATGAAAGACTTCTTCGCACAGATTGTGTGCTAATTAAGTTATAAAGTAACATGAAGCAGATTTTTGTCAAAAGAACCAAAAAAAAAAAAAACAACAACAACATAATTCCTCCATATTCAAATTAAGGTAAAATTCTTTAATTTGCTTTTTTGTCATTGTATCATTCCAGTCTTTTAATCAGTGATAGTAAGATATGAATGATTTGTAAATCACCTCCGCCACTCCAGGAGGCAGTTGTCATTGGATTGGCTGCCACCACCTCACAGGTCAAATTTAAGGTGGCTCCCTCCTCTACCACAGAGCTCCCTCCAACAACTAAATCTGGGTCATCTGTCAAAAATAATGGGTAAACAAAGATTAAAATCAGCTTTTCCCAAGACAACTCTAACACAATAAAGTTTTACTCAGTCTATTAATTCATGTCTCTCAGATAGAAAGAGGCACAAGAGAGAGAAAATGAGAAAAGAGAGAGAGTGAGAGAGAACATCTATTGACTAGATTATTACAAATCCTTGTAACCACTTACAAAGAATATCCCCAAACTGCTTTGTTTTGGTCACTGTTCTATCTCCAGACCCTCTGACAACACAACTGATATTATTCCCCGTGTAATCTCGGTGATACTTGAAGTTCCACTCTTGTCGTGTATAGTAATGATCACCCTAAATATAGAAGAAACTAGAACTGTCCAAACGGGACAAAATACCCCCCGCTGGGTTTTTCAGAAGTAAGTTTTTCCATAATAAAGATATGGAACGGACACAAATTATGGAATTTTTCTTCCAGTGACCTTGACCTTCCCCCAATGACCTTGGGTCAAGGTCATGACACACCCTTAGGTCATGAGCAATCTTAGTGTGGAGTAGTAGATTCTAATGTCCCTCTGTAAGAAAGATATGGAGCGGACACGATTGCGCAGACAGATAGACAGACGGACGGACAGTTAGACAGACAGACGGACAAGGTGATTCCTATATACCCACCCAAACTTCGTTTGCGGGGGGTATAATTAAAATGATCATGCTTGTTTTCTTATCAGGAACTTTCTTATAAGCATATTTGTCTCAGAATATGTTCTTCTACAACCATGCAATTGTAATGTTTGGCTTTAGATCAATGTACAAAATGTTCATTGTTGATGGTTTAATTCCATCTTACAGTGAAACTTGTCTCTTCCATATATTTTTGATTCCTTAGAAATTGAGGGGATTAAACAACAATCCAGTTTACACAATATTTTACCAAACCAAATTTATATCATAATAAGCAAGATTTCAGAATACACAACACCCAGCTTAGACAAACTTTACTGTAGTTCTGTGCAACTTTTCACTACAAAAATTATATTAAACATGGAAATTTCATAGCATTATTGGATCATAGTAATGAGCATTAAATTAAAATGACAGTATATAACAGCATACGGGTGTAAACTTCTAGCCTTACATATTAGGTGGTGTATGAGGTCTGGATATAAGCTTCTTGTCTTACCCAGTATATATTCATCTACAATATGTGGTGTATCAAGCCTTACATAATTATCTACAATAAGTTGTGTATATGCCTTACATATTTATCTACAATATGTGGTGTATCAAGCCTTACATATTTATCTACAATAGCTGGTGTATCAGGACTGAACTCTGTAGAGCCGTTGTACCATGTGATGGACAGAGCTGGGTTTGTGAATCCTCCGTAACAGATCCAGGTCATTCTGTTTCCCTCCACCCCTGTCTCTCGGCCATATAGTGACACTTGATTATCATATGGTCCATCTGCAAAGTTAACATACTGTAGATTGGCAAATAATGATGACGATTTTAATTTTGCTATGTTCACAATTTATCATTTTTCCTCAAAATAAAACCCCGCCCTAGCACCCGTGACCCTGGGCCCATGAATTTCACAATTTTGGTAGAGGACTCAATGCTCATTACAATCATACCAACAGTTTGACTGCTTGATGTCCAGGATTAAAGAAGAAGATTTTTAAAGAATGGACTAAATTTAGTGGTTTTTGCCCCACCCCCAGGCCCCAGCGGGCAGGGACCATGAAATTCACAATTTTTGTTCCCCTTCACCCATAGATGCTATATGCCAAATTTGGTTGAAATTGGTTCAGTGGTTTCAGAGAAGAAGCTTAAAATGTTCAAATGTTAATGCACAACACAAGAAGAACGTGTGTACGACGAACGATGCAAGTTACAAAGAGAGATAGGTCACCTGAGTTTACTCAGGTGACCTAAAAATAAAGTTAAAGTCTATAATCAGTGTCCTGCTTGATTAAAATTAAACTAAGGTTGATTAGAAACCTTGAATATTTATAATTACATGTATGTTGGTTTTTTTACACCTGGAACTGACCAAAAGTGGGACAGGATATAGCAGACAGCATTGATTAACACTTCAAAATATATGATGGACTACAAACAATAAATTTCTGTATATATGATCAAACAGACCATATATACAGCTATTTGATTTTTGTATTTCCATTATTAGTAATCTGTTAAATCTTGCAAAGTAATGTTAAAGTATTACATTTGGCTGCATATTTTTTATGTGTTTTTAGCAGAAAGAAACTTCCCTTAATCCAAGTACAGCGCTAAATCTCTTGCACATAGATACACAAATTAAAACATTAGGAAATGTGTTAAATTCAATCTACGCTAACTTGTTTAAAAATCAATTTCCGTCAAATACCATACAGGCTAAAAATAATACATTAACAGTAATTATTTTACATTTTAAAAAGAGTACTACATGTAATTAGATGTGAGGTACTACTGGAATTTTGCGAGAACCATAGACTTTTACAGGTGACTGTTTAGTTGCACATTTAAATTTGTATTATTTTTGGAGGTAGCTAGAAAATTGATAACAGATAAGAAAATATTTCAAGTGTTCATGAAATAGTGTTAGCTTGGAGCACTGAAATGTGAAAGCCAAGAGTTGAGGGTAGGATGGTTGTTATTTTCTTCAAGGACGTATATGTGCATTGAAATAAACAGTTATTTTCATTGAATCAAATATTGCGCTATATATATTTATATCGTAAAAAGCTTCCATACATTGTCTTAGTGAAAAAGTAAGTCGTCAACTGTAAAAGTCAGCGCTACTCATAAAAAGTCCACTATCTCAATATCAAAAGTAAAACTTACAGAGTACAGTAAATCTCTTTACTTGGGAGAACCTGGAAGAATTCACTAAACCATAACAAAATATTGACTGGCTATTCATTGAACTGTCCACCGTGATGGGCGGGGCTAACAACGTGGTAGTGTATGTCTCTGTCACATTATCGTACACAGTTGTTGTTGTATACAGGGATACGTTGTTGATGTCTGGGTTTATGGGGTTAAAGGAGAATATTCCAATATTTGTGGGTTGATAATGAGTGCGTGACACAGTACAAGAGATATTGACAACATCATTTTCTTCCACGGTCCCTACTCCATCTAAAGTTACGTCAATAACATCAGCTGAAAAAACATAAGACTGCATAAAATTAAAATTAGTTCAGCCTGTAATTTGCAATATCTTACAAACATTTTGATGAATAAATTATTTGACTTAATAAAATTACTATTGTCTGCATAAAATTACCTTGATATGCATCCTTTAAAAAATTTTTTGCATCAGTGTCAGTAAAACAATAAATACACTATAATACATGTACTAACTTTCTAGAAGTTTTCATCAACAACTTCATTTGACAGTAATAGATAAACTGAACTATCAAGGGTTTTTCTGTCTCTTTTTGAATTTAAACAACAAAGTTTACAGTGAAGATCTTACAGGCCAGATGTACGACAGCTATTTTCTCCAGTTCCTGTCCTGTTGCATTCGTAGCTCTACATTTAAGTACTTGATCATCATCGCTCTTGGTGGCATTTTTAATCAGTGTCACAGTATAGGTACCACTGTCATTTTCTGTGTTATTGTAGACAACTGAGGCATATTCCAATGTCAAGGATGAAAGGTCACTTTTACAGGTCAAGGTCAAATTTTCTCCTTCTATTCCATTTATCTGCCAACTACCACCACTAGTTGTATGAACTGCTCCAACTATTTCCAAGGATGGCCGGGCTTTAAAAGAAAAAAAAATTATTTTAATCAAAATCAGAATGTTATATTCATTTCCAAAATACATATTCAACAATGAAAAACAACGGGTATGGTCATGTAGCTGTACATATTCAACTCATCATCTTTTGCAAATTTTAACATTTAGGCCAAGCTTAAAAAATTCTTTGTTTGCAGTTGCCGACCTATAAATTTAAGACTGGGTCGGTAGGTAGGCATTCTTTTTTTTTTTGGAAAAAAAAAATCAGATTTTTGTTAGATAACAATTAAAAGAGGTTTTCATACACCTACTAGACATGAATAAGCTCATCTCTTGTTATAAACCACTGACTGATAAAAAAAACACTGATTGAAAAAAAAAAATCAAATTACCAAAAGGCTAAAAAAAAGTTTGGGTCGGATGCATTTTCAGTGGGTTGGTAGGCAACTGCAAACAAACTTAATTAATTTTATTTTAGGCCTTAGTAGAATGATGAATTAATAAGGTTTGCTTTTTTAGATATTGACAACATAAAAATGTGATATTTTCTGATGAAATTGAAATTTAGTTTTGAAATCTCCTGAAATTTTTTAAATACTGTAAACCAACTTTTATTCATGTGCGATAAATATTTTGCAAAGTTCACGAGAGCCTCATCATTGCCAATATTTCTTGCCATGAACTGATCCTTGAAGTGTATATGTCTATTAACAACATATCCAGAAATGATTGATTGCAAAATTTAATCATCGCAAACTAGTTTATCCCTGGTAAATCACGAAATTAAGTCATCGTGAATAAAAGTTGGTTTACAGTACATATACAATGTACATGTATTTGACTATTTGTATTCACTCTAGCAGAAAGGAAACTAACGCTGAACTGTGATTGTGACCTTCTCGTATGATCTGCCAGCAGAATTCTGGGCACTACAAGTAAAACTGTTTCCATTCTGATTCCTCTTGATGTCAGATATCACCAAGGACTGACCCACTGAAAGGAAACAAGTAGATACAGGCATACAGAAAGTTATAGCACTAGTAAAACATACAATGTTTGTTTGCAAGACCAATATGTATACATTATGTTTGTATGTTGTTTAACATCCCTCTTAAGAATTTTTCACTTGTACAGAGACGTCACCGCTTGTGGGTGGACAGCTGCAAATTTTGTCCTATACTCAGCACTTACGGCCATAGAGCAGCGAGGGATCTCTTTTTGTGCCAGCACCTACTGCGACACGGAAGATGAAACACTTCTGTGGACAAATTGTGTGCTAGTTATGAAGTAATTATGAAGTACAAGTAGTAGATTTTTCTGAAAAGAACCAGAAAACCAAAAAACATCCTCCAGAACTGAATGTCAAATTCTTTAGTTTGTTATCTTGTCATTGTACCAATGTTCTGATCTTATCTTGATAAACCAATTTTTAATTAGGGAGAGGTCAGACATAAATAATATATGTAAATCACCTCCCCCATCCCAGGAGGCACTTGTCATTGGATTGGCTGCCACAACCTCACAGGTCAAATTTAAGGTGGCTCCCTCCTCTACAACAGAGCCCCCTCCAACAACTAAATCTGGGTCATCTGTCAGATATAATGGGTAAACAAATATTATAATAGAATTCTCTTGAGACACCACTAACACAAAAAATTTTCTGTTTTTTTATTGTCTCTCAGACAGAAACCTTAAACGAGAAAGAAATGGGGTGTCAGAAAAAAAGAGAGAACACCTACTGACTAGGGTTCTACAAATCCTTGTATCCACTTACAAAGAATGTCCCCAAACTGCTTTGTTAAGGTCACCGTTCTATTTCCAGACCCTCTGATAACACAACTGATATTATTCCCCGTGTAATATCGTTGATACTTGAAGTTCCATTCTTGTCGTGTATTGTAATGATCCCCCTAAAAACAATAAAACTCGTCTAGTACAAACACGGATATTGCAAATTCATGAATATAGCAAAGTCATTTTGGATTTCTTATATTTTATAATGAATTAAGGATATAGGGAAGTGATTTCATAGGTCCCAGTGACTTCCTTATAAACGAGTTTTGCCGTATTGATGAAATTAACATGATCGTGGTTGTTTTCTTATCAGGAACTTTGTAATTATAAGCATATTTATCTCAGAATACTGTAAACAAACTATTATTCTAGTCGTCTTTTATTTGGGATTCATCAGTTTGAAATCAATCCACGACGATTAATTTTCAAGACTGAGGAAAGATTCTCTACAAATACAAAGCAAAATAAATAGTTCACAGCAATTCATATTCAGGACTTAAAGTGGGTCATGGAACTCACGATTATTTCTTACACACAAATAAATGTTAGTTTACAGATGTTCTTCTACAACCATGCAGTTGTAATGTTTGGCTTTTGATCAATGTACAAAATGTTGATGGTTTAATTTCATCTATGGGTATAAACATCTAGCCTTACATATTTTTCTACAATAGGTGGTGTATCAAGCCTTACATATTTATCTACAATAGATGGTGTATCAAGTCTTACATATTTATCTACAATAGGTGGTGTATCAAGCCTTACATATTTATCTTCAATAGGTGGTGTATCAAGCCTTACATATTTATCTACAATAGGTGGTGTATCAAGCCTTACATATTTATCTACAATAGGTGGTGTATCAAGCCTTACATATTTATCTACAATAGGTGGTGTATCAAGCCTTACATATTTATCTATAATAGGTGGTGTATCAAGCCTTAAGTATTTATCTACAATAGGTGGTGTATCAAGCCTTAAGTATTTATCTACAATAGGTGGTGTATCAAGCCTTACATATTTATCTACAATAGGTGGTGTATCAAGCCTTACATATTTATCTATAATAGGTGGTGTATCAAGCCTTAAGTATTTATCTACAATAGGTGGTGTATCAAGCCTTACATATTTATCTAAAATAGGTGGTGTATCAAGCCTTACATATTTATCTACAATAGGTGGTGTATCAAGCCTTACATATTTATTTACAATAAGTGGTGTATCAAGCCTTACATATTTATCTACAATAGGTGGTGTATCAAGCCTTACATATTTTTCTACAATAGGTGGTGTATCAAGCCTGACATATTTATCTATAATAGGTGGTGTATCAAGCCTTACATATTTATCTACAATAGGTGGTGTATCAAGCCTTACATATTTATCTACAATAGGTGGTGTATCAAGTCTTACATATTTTTCTATAATAGGTGGAGTATCAAGCCTTACATATTTATCTACAATAAGTGGTGTATCAGGACTGAACTCTGTGGAGCCATTGTACCATGTGAAGGACACGGCTGGGTTTGTAAATCCTCCGTAACAGATCAAAGTCATATCATCTCCCTCCACCTGTGTCTCTATCCCATATACATCTAACAACACCCGATCTTCATATGGTCCATCTGCAAAGTCAATAGATTTAAGGTAATTTTGTGTTGAAGATGATGTTTAACTAGTGCTACATGTATTCAATTATGCCATAAAGAATTAGAAATATTTCCAATTTAATTTTTAAATCTTTCATGTATAATATGAGATTTTGAGGAAAGAACCCAAATCACCTTTGAATGTTTTACTAATAACATATTCTGATGAAGTGCTGTCACAAAACGTATCCCCCCCCCCCCCCAAATTGAACATTGTAGAGCGAGGTTGTAGAGTGAAAGAAGTACAGAAATCATCAGTTTTTTGTGTTCTCAACATCTTCAGATGGATTGTGTACCAATATATTTGAACTGTTTTCAGTAGCATTGGATGCTGTTCTGTTCAGATGGCGACCACTTTTTCTGTCAATTTTTGAAACATTTGTTTTGCTTTTTTCGCTTAAAATTCTCACTGTCTAGAAAGTAAGTAATACTAAAGGTATCCGAAAATTTGATAACCGCTTTATTTAATTTTTATAAAGCTTTGAAGTGTTTTATAAAGAAAATAATCATTTCAATCACAAAACTTTATTTAAAAGTTGATGGCGTTTTAACCTTGGACCATGCACACTATCAGTGACTTAAATGACCGCGATTTTTACAAACATATTAAGTTCAAACAATGAAAACCAATCTATTCTGACTTGGATATTCATAACTTATATTTTGGTATACATGTGCCATAATTATATCTTGAACCAATTAGGGCTGTCACGGGTACCCGAAATGACTGCGAACCGCGGAACAATTCATTCGGGTCGGGTATGGTTCCGTTTTTCCGGAATTCGGTTCGGTTCCGATTTGTATAATAGAATTGGTTTTACTATAAAAATGGCGTCAATAACGAGAGATTTGTTAGTACATTGCCATTATAAGGTGATTTAAATAATTTGTTACAATTGTTTTCTAGTCAGGAAACTACTTTAAACTAGTTATAATATTGCTATTTCTAAGATTAAATGAAAATATTCTTTTTTTTCTTAAAAATAATACAAATCATGAGCTTTTATTCCATTACCTACCCGAACCGAAAAACCCGAAACCGAACCTTAAAAAATCAGAACCGACCCGACGAAAATTTTGTAACCGTGACAGCCCTAGAACCAATCATTTTGACAAAAACGCCATTGTCCATGGACTTTTTGGACAACCCTCGTACATGTATTTCGATCTGGTGTACTATCTCAATAGCGGGAGTAAAACTTACAAAATACAGTAAATCTCTTTACTTGGTAAAACCTTGAAGAATTCACTGAACCATAACAAGATATTGTCTGGCTATTCATTGAACTGTCCACCTTGACGGGCGGGGCTAACACGGTGGTAGTATACGTCTCCGTCACATTGTCGTACACAGATGTTGTTGTATACAGGGATACATTGTTGATGTCTGTGTTTATGGGGTTAAAAGAAAATATTCCAAAATCTGTGGGTTGATAATGCGTGTCTGACACAGTACATGAGATATTGACAACATCATTTTCTTCCACGGTCCCTACTCCATCTAAAGTTACGTCAATCGCATCAGCTGAAAAAAACATATGATTGCATAAATTCAAAATTATTTGTGTAATTTGCAATAT